TATATATATATATATATACATGCGAAAACGCTAGCCTAGACTCTAACTCATCCCCGAGTCACTAACCATCCTGTGGCCACTGAATGAAACCCCATGTTACTAGTATCATATTCCTTAACATTGGCCCCAAAATTGTTGCTAATTGATTATTAATTTTAATAAAATCGGTTTAATGTTGGCTCTAATTATCTCTGTTGGATCTGATAATTGCTTATCAGATTACATAAACGGCGTCAATTGTGAATCTGATAATTAAGATTAGATGGTCTAAATCTTGCCACTGCTCATATGTCAAGCGACTCTATTTGCCTCTATCTCTTCTCTGATTACGCTAGGAAATATGCTTTGCATCAGGAAAAACAAAGAGTTAGTTACAGATATTTATAAAATGGCAAGAGATACAGAAGAAATAAACAAGATAAAACCAACCAATCACATTAGTCGTCAAACTATATATCACAATGATTTTGCATACTAATTCCAACTATCAAATTCGTAGACTAAATTCTAGTTAAACCACAACAAACCTTATAGACCTGCATTATTTAATTTTTCTACCACTATAAACTATCTTAAGAACAAAAACTATGTTCAAGTAGAATCGGGAAGACTAAGCAATTAAGCCCAACCTCTATGAAACCCAAACAACCAGTCATCATCACCACTAAAAAGCTCTCCTCCTGCAACCTAATGATACAAATCAACATTACATCAGTTCAGGAACATCACATGCCTGATAAATTTAACAGTAAACTCAATTCGTAAAGTTAATATAACAATTTGCTCTAAGAGACTTTACGGAATTGCAAAGCTACATTAGATTGTTTTAACGGCGTATTCATTAGAAATATTTTTATACGAGCTTTTTTAAACCATCTCAATATCCATTATTCGAAAGGGGTACAAAAGGCAAAATTCGGTTAATACATTTGATCCAACATTGTGAAATCACACACAAAGCTAAAAGCGGTATACTGGCACAATCAATAAAACTGAAATAATTTTTTTTTTAATTTATTACTATATGCTGCCTTTTCCGGTGGCTTTATTTTACTTAATTAAGAAAAACCATTTTTGGAAATTCATTACATCCAAATAAAGATTACCTGGCATAACACTGCTACCCAAATTTACCTTATGATAATCATAATTTACCACAACCATGCAAATTTTCTCTGGTACTCATTAATTTCCGACCTTACTTATAATTGGTACATAGATACTTGTATTATAATCAGCGAGATCTGTTGAGGCAGAAAAAACTACTAAATCACCAGTAGTACCCATTACCAAAATTAGTTTTATATCATTGACACCAATACAGCTTGTTGATTTTAAACTGTTCCACTGAAGTATTATTATTTCCTTCCCCCTAAGTTTGTTTTTAGTACACAGCTTATTTATTTATTTCATTTGCTACTGATTTGATTTTAAATTATTTAGTTTATAGAAACACTTCTTCAAAACGTAAGTACAAGCAGAATAAACACGTGGTTTCTGATAACTTTAGGAATAATAATTCAATGTCGTAGCCCACATATGCTATCACGTTCATAGGAGATCTTGCCTGATTTACGAATAAAAAATAATTAAATATTAAAGAACGTACAATAAAATCCTTTTTATTAAATAAAACCGTAAGCTAACTAACATAACCGATATGATCTTTTAAATATTAAAAAAAGAACAGAATGGTCGACAGTTTAATTTGACAATGGCTAATACAAAACCGGTAAAAAGAAATCATTTGAGATTTTTTTTAAAGATTTTTAGGATTGGGGCTGAAAATCGGCCTTTCAACAGCTGTCAAATTTCAGGACCCACAAATTTTTTTGGAGTTATATGAGACTGACACACAGCTACACTGACACACACAAACACTTTCTTTTATAGATACTTAAGTTGGAAGGAGATGGACTTTGGTAGTCTTTTCGAAAAAATAATTTCGCTGCAATACTGAGTCATACCCATGTCCTACATAAACTTTCCTAAAAGTGCACTTCCAGCAGGTTCTTAAAGACACTTCATTGCTTAAAACACTCATTAGTTTTTCTTAACTTCAATTTTAGTTGATATAATGGTAGTGTCGATTATAGTTAAAACTAAAGAAAACTTTCAGAAGAATTAGGCTTAGAAATCAATAATTCAAAATCTTACGTCACTTAGCGCAATCTTTAATTATAAAATACAGTAGTTAAGTGCTAGCGAGCTAGATTATCGAAATAAAGTTCTGTGTTTGAAAAAAAATGAATAGATATTATATCTTATTAAATTTTTAATAAAAATTGGTTTTTAAACACAATATCACTTGCTGAACACGAATAAAAAAAACATCGAACATAACGATTGGATATATCATTCTAGATAAGAGACGAAGAGTTGCCGAGAGATACGCCTCCAAAATGTTTAATGATGAAAGCTATTCCACACACCTATTTCTATGCCAAGAAGTCCTACATCATAATAGGGGGTCTCGGAAGCTTCGGAATAGAAGTTACTAAATGGATATTAATGAAAGGAGGAAAGAACATCATCATAACTTCTAGAAAAGGAGTCACAACTCCCCGTCAAAGACTTTGGCTTAAGAAATGGAACAGTAAAGGAAATATAGTTAAAGTGTTGACACTTGACGTTTCAAAACCGAATGAAGCAGAACAGCTCCTAAAAGAAGCTTCTGAACTAGGCTCAGTAGGTGGGATATTCAATTCCGCAGTAGTGAGTAAATTTAATTTTGTTCATACGACAAGTTACTTTGTGATTATAATGAGAGTTGATTTTTTGAATAGCTGTAAAAAAAAGAACCAATGGTTAAAATGACCTCATATTTCATCTGAACATACGTGAAGCAATGCGAATTTACTTTTAATTCACATTTATGAACAGAAGCAAAAATTCCAAGGTAGATGGTGTTGTATTGTTTTGAAATATTTTTTTTTCTTTTACAAAACAAATTCCACAAATGCATGTGAATGTACTAAACTTTGTAGTAAGATTTTATTCTTGTAAAATATACCATATAAAAGTTTTTATACTTCATGATTTAAAAACTTTTTAACATTTACTTCAAAATTTACTTCAAAATTATAGCGATGATAATAAATTCAACATAATTCACGAGCTCAAAAATAAGTAGTAGAAAATATAAGAATGGAAATATAAAATACAAAAATAGAAACTCGAGGTTTAGTTTTTCTAGTTTTGTTTTAACTTTCATTTTCCAATTTATGTGCCTAGTATTGTTTTTTACCCTTATTTTCCCTTTTTTCGATTGGCCACTTTACGTTTACTGTTTTGAATCAATTTTATTTCCTCATTTCCATCTGGATAGTCTTGAGAATGACCACCTACTTTTGAGCTCTCGGAACAGATTGACTTTTATTACCATCTCCTTATTTCTGAAGCAAATAGAGTTTTTAAATCATCAAGTATATCTTTCCGCTTCAATTTCTAGGGATTATTAAGTTAACATTCATATTCTGAATAAAATTTTATATCAATAGTAGGATTTTAACATTCTGAGATGAAATCTTTTTGACTTAAAGAGCCCATCTAAATTATATGTTTAAAAAAAAAGGTAAAGCCGACGATAACTGATAAACTTAGGAAAAATATTCTAAGTGACATTTTAGTGAATAATGGAACATCTACTTTAAAGATTATGGCAATATCAAAATGTTGATCACGAAACGCATGCTCTCATCAAAAACCAACTTTTCTAATGATCTCTGTCAGAAAAAATTGCGTTTTATAAAAAAAAAATGGAAGAATGCAAAAATGACGTAATTTTCAATTAAATTTTAAGCATGCTTAGCACTTGAATTTTTGCAATATACAACATAAAAATGTAGAGGAAAATGAAAAAAAACCAAGAACTCAAGATTCGATAGAGCTAAACTGTTCAACGCAAACTGAACTGTTCGCCGGTTGGAGCTAAACTGTTCAACTCAAAATCCGTCACTTTTAAACAAGTGATTCATTGTTTAATTTTGGGTAACATATCAATCCTGAAAGTCATAAATACTCTCTTTTTTCTTTATAAATGATTTTTTTCTAGAAAAAGGCAAATCATCCAATCTTACCCCACTAGAAAAGTAAGATCGGATAATAATGGATGGATGACGATGAATCGGATGATAAGCAAACGTAAAATCTATAGAAAATTTAGAAATGATAGAATTTAAGGGAATGTTATCAGACATTTTTATTTAACATATCAATTTAAGAATATTAGGCACGAAATTCACATGTGACAAGTAGTTAGCTTCTTCCTCTACTCCACTGCAGCTTTTGTAGGCCTAGAGAAAAACACTTTTCTTTCTTATAAATCCATCTTTCTTCTTTTTTTTTGGTTGGAAAATACATCATTACAATATAAACAGTCAACATCTAACGTATTTTTATCGCTCTTATTGGAAGAAACGTACATCAAGAATTTTGCTTTGTCAAAATTGCTTTGTTATATTGGTTCTTGATACACTTCTTTTTTTTTTTTTGGTCATTTTGTTTTGAGGGTTGTTTTTTTAGTCACTGCAAAGCAATATTCTTCTCCTTCCTCGCACATTTTTTTATGTTCCCTTTTTTTTAATATCCTAATTCGGCTTTATATGTCGAGAATAGAACCCGGTCAAACCCCAACTTGCCGTACCCGATCTTCCTCAATCATAGAGGTTATCGAAACTAAACAGAACCATACTACTACTGGATTGAATCCTTATTATTTGTAAGGGTATGAATCCTTAGCCAACGTATAATAAGCTTGCCCAACAAGATTTTTTATAATTGTACTGAACAATCTTTAAGGATAGTTTGAAAACAAAGGAACATTAGAGAGTTCACAAAGTAAAACAAACTTAACTCCACAAACGCCATGAATTCAACTACAATATTACAGCTCTTTCATCTGACCCAGCTGAATGTAATGTAAAGTCTGTCCATTAGAACTAATTTCGCCAGAATCCAGGTACCTGGTTTCACCCCACCACCCACTCTCTCTTATATCCTGTAAATACACATTCCTTCTGTTTTTCATTGCATTTCAGTTTTTCAACCTCGAGATAGAATGAAATTATCTCAATTGTTTAACCAGAACCCCTGTCGAAATTTTCGGCCTTGATAAGTTAATTTACTCTTCTCATTGTTCGTCAGATAGCTTGTACTAATTACAGGAAACAAATTTTTTCTCACCCATGTAAGTTAAATGGACAATTGCAGCATCTCTTAAATTTTCCAAATTATAGTCATTACTTCTTAAGATTGATTTCCTGATTACGAAAATATAATTTTTAACTCTGACAAATAAATATTTATTTAATTATTAATATTTTAATTTGAGCGAAAACGCCCTCACTCGAAAACGACCGCTGATTGGTGTGACGTCATTAGAGCCTTACTCCTCACGACCTTCCCGTTGTTATTATGTATTTTCTTTCTTGCGGTTTTAACTAGCTCTTCTTTAACTTATTTTTTCCAAATTTTCCCGCGTGTATTTAAATGCGTATTTAGCAGCAAATATTTTGAAATCTATTGCATATATAGAATCAAAATGGAAGAGGGGTTTCAAAAAGCTCAAACGGACAATTTGCCGCAAGTTACTGAAGAGATGATTATGGATTTTTTTCGAACGAACCAAGATTTCATTTCGCCTGAAATCAAAGGCATAAAGGCTCAAAGGTATAAATTTGTTTATTTATAAACTGTAGCTGTAAATAAGGGCGTCGGCAAGGAGGTGCACTTACACTACCCTGGATTTTCTTTAAGCAATTAAAAATAAATAGAAAAGCAATTTAGTTATAAAATTTTATGTAAAAAATTGATTAATCAAACAAGAATTGCAATCATACAGAATAGTTTTAATCTTTTTTTTTGTGGGGATGGTAGTTTGTTAAAGGGTTGCACCCCCCTATATTTTATTCTACCGGCGCCCCTGGCTGTAAATAATTTTGTGTGTGAAAATGGAACGGCGATTTGTTATAACACATATAGGTACACGTTAAAATATAGCAAGGATTTAAGTATACTAAAAACATCTTTCCACTTTCATAAAAGTATAAAACTAAACGCTATTCTTACACACTAAATTATTATTACTCACAAAAACAAATAATTATACTTACTCACAAAATTATTATTATAAACGTTATACTTACTCTTTTATTAAAATTATTTTATTAAAAATTAATTTTAATAAAATGTATTATTTTATTAAAAATTAATTTGAATTAAAGTTATTATTTTATTAAAGACCAATTATAAACAACTTTGTAATAATTACAATCAATTTTATTAAAATTAATTTAGTTAAAAATTAATTGAAGTCAATTTTATTAAAAATAATTTATAAACGATTTTATAAAAATAAATAAGCTATTATTTTTATTAAAAATTATTGTTTTATCAAAAATTAATATTTAATAAAATAAAATTAAAGAAAATTAGATTCTAATTTATAAAAAAAATTAAAGAAATAGTCAGAGGCAAGCTAGTTATAGAATATTTTTACCCTTTCTACTGTCAAACATAAATACACATCTTCAATTTTAGTATATTTTACTTTAACTACACCTGCTAATGTTTTTTTATCGAATTTTTTTATTAAATTTAAAAATAAGTTTTGCTTCATAATATTTTTTAAAGTGTTAAATCCAAGGTGTAAATAATAACATGAACCATTTTGAAAGATACTGGTACATTTTATGAATGATGTATTAAAAATCAAAAAGATTTTTATTACATTATATTTTAAAGCGTCTAGTTATGCAGATAGTGTGCATATTGAAGGATTTAAAAAAATATAATAGTTTTTATCCCTATTCTGTAAAAAAAAGAAAAAATTAATGTATACTAAATTTTATATTAAATAACTATTTCATAATTTAAGGTTTCCAGAAACTTTTGGAATTTTTACGGAAAAGAAAGATATGAAATAGCGATTAACACAAACTAATATTACATGGACATAGGAAAGCTATAAAAAACTTCTTCTTCTTTATCGACACTATGGCCTTGGGGAGGCCAGGTCTGTCTCAATTGGTTGTTTAGTCTAATAAGATTCTGTTTTTCAGTTTTTAAATCATCTTTTTCACACATATATATATATATATATATATTTTAACTTCAGATCAGCAAGACAAACATATGGGGATAATGCTATAGGCTATGTGCAAGTTAAGCGAGAAAGTGATATCTGCATTGTTAAAGGGAAAATGACTCCTGAGCATAAAATAAAAACCAAAGCATATGCAATAACTTTGACATGTGATGAATCTTCTGGGGTCATAAACTCATTAGTGTGCGATAACTGTGCGGCCAGCGCAGGAGGATGCAAGCACATGATAGCATTTCTTTTCTGGGTTCACCGAAAATGTTCGCTACCATCTCCAACAGAAATAGAATGCTATTGGAAAAAATCTAAACTTTCATCAGTTGGTTCATCCCAAAAATTTATTCATGCTTCTAGTTTAGGTAAAAAAGATATCAAAGATCTTCCCCCAAAGTGTCCTTCTATTTTAGAAGCAATACACTTCGATTTTAAAATATATTTTTAAAAAAACAAACGACGTTCAACTAGGCACGTAAACAAGCGTTAAATCACCAAGGAGAAAAAGTGTAAACAAACGCGAGTCAGGCTCGAATGGCGTCACTTTCTTAAAAGTCACGTGACTTCCTTTTTAAACTGAAAACGAAAGTACACGATTTTTAATTGCTCTTAATTAAAAAAGTAGCATTTTTTGGGAGGTAAAAAGATGTTTTTCAGGACTTTTCCATCATTCTGAATTCATTAAGAACATAAAAAAAATTGACTGCAATTGTCCATTGCGCGCAACAAGGATGGGAGAAGAACACAATTTGCTGCGATACTAGGTGTTAGTACAACAGTGGAACTGCAAATTGTCATTATCTGCGTAGGGACTGAGTGTGTGCGGTATTGGTCCTCGTTAAACTGTTTCACCGTAAAGTGCTCGACCTCGCGTGCAGTTCGTCGGGCTACCGAAGGGGAGGGTGCATCCCCTCTACAGATGATCAAAATTGTGAAGGCATGTCTTCGGATCATCCTTAGGGATGTTTCCCAGACCGTCGCCAATAGCCCATTGTGCAGCTCTAGTGTGACGTAAATGAGCTACAACAACAACAAGCAACTTGTCATTGAATGAGCAAGCTGATTCTTATCGGCATCAAGAGTAAACATATCTAAAAATAAACTAATAATAACAATATAAAACAGCTGCTTTTAATCTGTTTTATTAAATTTTAAGAAATTCCACTAATTCATTTTAAGATAAACTTAACATAAAATCTTTAAAATTAACTCAATATCAATTCAATTCTTATAATATACCCGATATTTTATTTTTACATTTTTTGTAAAAAAGTTGTCTTTTTTAAACTCTTTTATTTCAAACTTTTTCGATTTAGGGTTCATTAAGTTGTTTAAATAAATTACGCTTTATTTTTCCCCAATATCTTCTTAAATTTGGTACGGACAATAAACATCGATGTAAGGTCAAATGTATTTGTATTTCGCTTAATAGAGAAGGTTTATATAAATCTACTTATCCATATATTTATTGATACTAATTATAAGTAATCGTTAAAATAGCGCAAATGTGAATACAATAGCTTGATACAATAGCAAAGAGCTTAAAGACCATGATCGATGTTTATTGGGTGGAGGGATTAAACTTATGATCTTTGTGTTGTTAGTAAAACGCTCTAACCAACGGAGCTAATAGACCTTGCTTGCAACTAGTTGATAGAAATCTAAAATAAGCATAGGGGACGGGCGAAAATACTTATTAACGACGAAAGAAAAGTAGAAATACAGTGTCCAAAATTAAAGCGAAATTTCACACATTTCACACTTACGAATTAGGCTTAAATTTCAGATTCCAGTATAATTACAGACTTTTTTTCCTACCTTTTAATGTTACCTTACTGGTTGTTCTACGTTATTAGATTAGGCAAATCACGTGTTCCTCATCAAAATAACTATATCCAGTTGCATCAAAATTTAAGTGTCAAATATCAAAACGTCTAATTGAAATATTTGAAAAATGTTTAGCATCAGGAGCTAAAATTTCATTTTTTCACCCATTAACGAAATTACAGGAACATAGAAAAAACATAAATATAGAATGATGCCTGTGTTTGAACTTTTTTCTGACACAATAGGCCGAAGAAAAAGTACTTATTCATTTAGGGAAATGCAAAAAAATCATCATACTACTATTAGTTATTAACGTCATGGATACTTAATTTTGGTAATTAGTTCTCCTAGTACTGTGCTGTCTTAATAGATTTCCAAATATACTATTACATGTTTTCATACAAGTACTCTGGTAATAGGTTTTTTATGAGATGCGTAGCGGAACAAAATTACTTTTTTTTTGTAAATTTTGCTAATCATGAATTAGCCGCGAGCTTATCAAAGTATCATTTGACATCTTACCTAAAGATGCTGAATATGGGTAATCATTATTTTCAGAGGTATATACTTCGAAATGCGTACTTCGCTCAATCTAATAACGTAAAGTCACCAGGAAGTGAGCCAAATAATAATAAATAAAAAAATTGCCTTATAAAAAATTTAATTTTTTTCAGTATATAACTTTCAGTTTTGTGCATGACATAGAAGAACTGATTAATACAGATTCATTAATTACTTAGTTTTTATTTTGTCAGTACCAAGAACGAGTATTCATCTGATTAGTAATACAAGGAAAGAGTGACATGTATTTGAAATCAAGCGTCAAAGTCCTTTTACCTATGCTTTCCTAATTTCATAGTTTATAATTATAGGTGTTGAGGTATTCCTTTATGAAGTCTCAGAGCCCCGAGACTTTCAGAGATGTGTGTGCTCCTAAGGCAGCAGCAACAAAAATATTGGATGGACTGACCAGAAAAATGTGTCCTAATTTGGATTTCTTCGTTTGTTTTTCCTCAGTCTGTAGTGGTAAAGGTAATGTCGGTCAAGCAAGCTATGATTATGCTAATTCAGTAATGGAAAGGATATGTGAAGAAAGGAGAAGATCTGGACTTCATGGTAAGTTTTCTCTTCCTTAACTCCCATAACAAAACCTATAAGTGGCGCATGGTCGCCCTCTAAGTCCTGTAGGTGTCCTCATTATGGCGATGGGGTGCCCCTGGGTGGAAATACGTCGGGAGAGTATTCTCCTGGTAGAGCCACCCAAGGCGTGAAGCCGTTCCAGTGTACCCAGCTAACTGTCTACAGATGAAGGAGCTACAACAGTCTTTTACCTATTGGTGCTCCAGTCTTAGGACTAACAAAATCTCTGCACTTCCCCTCCTCAAAACAATCTCAAATTAAAAAGGATTGGTCGATACCTCCTACTCACCACTGGTACTGTTGTAGTAGACCGGGCCTAGCCTTGATCCTTTCTTATAATATGAAAATCTATAACACCATCTAGCGCTTCGCCAGTGACCCCTTAAAGAGTTTACGTTTTTGTGAGGGATAAGAACATACCCACTTTGCCCCAAGTGCCACGAACACCAGACTTCACCTGAACACATTTTGGACTGTTTGGAACTAATATGGGGGGGGGAGATTTCATGCATCTCCTCTAATTGTTAATGTTTCTTTTTAAATGTCAACGAATTCGCAAATCAGATCTGGCTCCATCAGACCAGATAGGAGAAAGGCAACAACAGCAACATAAGTGTGGTAAGAACAAACTTTCTCCAAAAATAAGAGGGTCTCTCACAGGAGAAACTCCTATCACAGTATGAAGCAGAAACAACAAATTGCCACAATTTACTCACATGCAGTAAAAAATCGAACACTATTAAACAATTTAAACACGCGGCATGCATTTCTTTCACTGTCAGCAAAATTTACCTTCAAGCATTAACAAAGGAACAACAATCTATTAACAACAATCTTAATGGTTTTATGAAAGAAAGCTTTTTAAAGCTGAATTTGGTGACTTCTTAAAATTAAAAGTAATAAATTAGTATATAACACTTTTTGTGCAGAATTGACAAATAAAATTATTATTCAGAACTTACATCTGATTCACTTGAACCTGCAGTAGTTCAGATTTCCCCAGTAAATGAAATGTAGATTTAAAACTGGTTAAAATACCTAAAATACTATTACTTTCTGACGAACATCCATTAATTATTAAAAGAATGAAAATGTAAAAATATGATTCAAAAAAGTTAAATGTTCGAAAAATAGCTTGTAAAACATGCTGATTTAAGACAGTAAGAAAAAAAATTTCCGAATAAAAATTTTATTAATCATTTTTATACTAAGCCAATGTATACGAAGCATACAATATTAAAAATAATGATGATATTAGTTAAAGAACCAGCGGGTGACCGAGCTCCGCTCGGAAAAAACAGTTATCGAAGCTAACTCGAAGATTTAAATTTTCAATTGTGATTTATCAAAACAATACATGCCATAAGAAAATTTGTGAAACCATTGGTGAAAAGATAACAGGTTAAAGTGCACCATTGTAAACTATCTAAACAAAGTTTGGAAAGGGAACTATTCTATACAAAGGTAAAGTTTGAAAAGTCATAGGAAATAAAATGTAATTGATAACAAAAAATTATACAATTAAAGAAATGGTACAAAGTGAGCAGTGTAAAGATTGAAGTGTGTTGAAGTTCCAATATTTTTGACAAATTTATTTAGAAAAACCAAACATATATACATACATAAGAAACATATTATAAACCTATAACAGCATAAACATAATAAACATTAATCATCGATTGCGAAGTCTTCCATGTTGTCCAGGTAGTTTCTTGTCGGAGAGGCAGGTGCGGCTGGTGAGTTTCTCTTGTTCAGGACTTCCTTCCATACGACGTTTCGGGTGTGGGTTGGATTCTCAGGAGGCAGCAGGACCTTCAACGCACTTTGACGCTTGACTCTTGAAAACGCGACGTAGAGCATTCCGTGCACGAAGACCGTCGTGAGGAGAAGCACGCCGACGAATTCGAATGTTTGGCCTTGTGACTTGTGTATCGTAATGGCGAATGCTGGAGTAACTGGGAATTGGTGCCGTTGCATAGTTGCGCCAAGCTGTGATTTGCTGGAGTCGAGCGTGATCCTTGGAAGGTGTACTTGTCGGCCTGCGTGTTCACCGGTGATGATCTTAGCCTTGATGATGTTGTTGCAAAGTTCGGTGACAATCAATCGTGTTCCGTTGCACATTCCTTCAGAGACGTCCAAGTTTCGGAGAAGCATGATGATGGCGTTCTTCTTGAGCTTCAGATTGTGTGGAGGCAAGTCGGCGATGTTGATCGAGTTCAGGAATTCAGGCGCGAATTGAATTCCCCCTTCATGTTGATCCTTTACCGAGTCGAAACTTGTGTATGTCTTCTCTTCGCCTGGAAGCATAGCGATAATCTGCTCGTTGATCTTGTCCTTATCGTCGTTCAATGGTGCAAGAATAGCGCGATTCTTCATTGCTTCGTAGTTCCCACTTCTGAGGCATGGTCCGAAGATTTCATCGATGAGGTTACCACCAGAGCGAATTTCTTCTGGGACTTCTATTTCGCCGAGTTCATTCACTTCGAGTTCCCCGTCGCCGAGCTTTAGCAGGTATTTCGCGAATTCTTCTTCTTCGGGATCAACGCGCATGTTCTTTTCGAGCGAATAAGTCTTGAAGTGTTGCCACAGATGGCTTCTCTTGATCAAAAGGTCGAGTATTTCGCTTTTGTTGGCACGTTGTTGAACTGG